ATCGATAAGTACTTCCGAGACCTTAGTTCAGGGAGGCAATAGCATCGAGTCAAAAGTGTATATATATGGTCTTTGAAGTTGAGGACGTGAAAATTTAATAAAAGGTACCCAGTTACAGACGACTCGTCCTCTTCCACGTACTCCTCCCGTTCTAGGCGAGATCGGCTGGTCTTCTCCACGCACGGCTGTGGAGAGCGGCCGTGTTCCGGAGTATATCTCCCTGTAGCCTTTGGTGTGAAAGTAATTCTTTGATGTTGATACTTGCATGTGTCACGTGACTCATCCCACGGTATACGTAAGTAGTCTGTCACCAGCTTACGTAAATCATTAATGGAACCTCACCAAGTCACAATACATCCAGATGATAAAGGATTCTCATACACATCCTTCGCTTTGAGAGATAAACGGGAACACACACCGCTGTCCTCTTAACAGTGGAGGTAATGTATATAGTGGAATAAACTGGTACTTGACATTTAAAAGAAACTTTAGTTGCCTGAACTTCCAGACGTTTCAGCGCCATCAACTCTGTGGACGATTAAGGCAAATTGCACCAGACGATTAAGAGAACATGCACCATCCGCTCCCTCGCTTTTTTACATATTTCTTTAACAGCTTTTTCTTAAAATGGTTTTGGTCTTTTGTGATTTTCTTCTATTGCTATTAGAATCACTTAAAAGTGAAATCTGTAAAATAATACACGAAAATTGTGAAATACGGGTTTTCACCATTTACTATGCAAGTTTGAAATATACCGGAACCAATCTGTCCATTGTGCAGACTTGAAGCATGATCTTGTTGGACAGAATATACAAATAGTATTACGGATTGTCTTCATAGAGAATTTAGATAAAAGTATGTTCAATTAATCGGTTTAATCCGGCTCTTGTTAGGCGAGACACTCCGCATTACAAACGTTTGGACCTCTACGTATAACTAAACACTACATTGTTTACCTGTTTAGCCGTCAGTGTGTAAGGTCGGTAATGTCTCAGGACAGTGTACCTGGTTCCACTGTCTTATCATTAAGTTATATAATATGCTGTCCACAGTTTGTATGACTGAGCGACGTGAATACTGCATCTCGTAATCGATACCACTCTTTACCTGGGCCTCCCTTCACGTAGCAACCTTTACTAAGGTTAACCTCAACTCCCATTCTTTAACATTGCACTAAGGTTACCTTCGTGACTTACGATCACCTTGGTGCTTTGTGAAAGGAGGCCCTGATTGGTATAGACCCATGGTGTCAACAACTCATGTGGGGAGATATGACTGATTCACGAACACCGGGTGTCAATACGAACCGAGCGACGGAAATACTGCATCCTGTAATCAATACCAATGTTAGACTGATTGTTATAGAGACATGGTGTCAACAACTCATGTGGGACATATGACTGATTCACGAACACCGGGTGTCAATATTGGAATTTCAGTTATCCATTCATACAATGTTCACGGCTATCTTGCCCTTTACACTGGAAACTGTTTTGTTGGAAAAGCGAGTTTGCTGGCTATCAGGTGTTAACTTTCATATTAACTTTCAGTTTCATTCCCTTATCGGTAATGACTTATTATTCAAGAGTGAGTGAGTGTGTTTAGTTTTACACCGCTTTTAGCAATATTCCAGCAATATAACATCGGAAATTGGCTTCAAACACTGGGGAATCGAACCCGGGTCATCGACGTGACGAGCGAATGCAAAACCATCAGGCTACCCCACCGCCCCGTTATTCAAGAAATACCATCACCATTACATAGAATATTTGAGTCAATATGAAAGATGATATAGTTTTGAGTTGTTAAAACTAAGAATGTCACGATTACAAAATGTTAAAAAATGTAACTTTTCTGTATATAAGATACGTTTCTGTAGTTCTATTAATATGTCTGAAAATAGATGTAAAGCCGCAGTCACTATAACAGAGTGACTAACCACATCAAACAGCGTTCGTCCATGTTAATGACCCAGGTCCTTTGTAGGAACGTGAAACGCGGGCCCCCATTGCAAGCCCCAATATCCTAATCGCCCTCAAACTGGTTTTGACAGCCCAAATGGAGTCTTACGGGAATTGCTATTTTCGTCCATAATGGAATCTCTTTATTCGCATTTTTAGCCAAATCTTCCACTTTAATTGACCTCACACCATGAAAAAGTACAATCCTTTCCGCGATTCCGCGAAGCACTGATTTCCATTGTCCCGAAAGTGTGCATATATCTCATGGAGAGGTGTGGAGGCAGAGCTTATGGTTAATGGAAGATAGGGGCTATAATTATGATCGCTTCCTCCACTTGACATGTTTAGATTGACTTTCATCAATTCTAACTTAAGAATCCGCAGGAGCAATTGCTACTTTAATCAATATTTCTACAAACTGTGCACCCTGCAAACAAGTGACGACTTGAGGCTCCAGTTGCGAGATGGTTCCTCCGACATTGGGTGTCATTGGTCCTGTTGATTGCCTAGGATGAAATGAAGCGATAGCTATGATATGGCAATTTGTATGCGGAAGGAGTGTTGCTTCGTTATGAAACTATTTTTGTCCGTCAATTGCAAGTGTCAACAAGTATGATGAGTGAGCCGACCCTGAGAGAGGATCTCATAAACTGTGTTGCGCACGAAGAAGTCAATGCGCTACCCCCGAATCCGTGTCTATATTTGTAGGATTGATGATATGTACGTACTTTGATGTAGAAACTGAGATCAATAGCGTTATAACATTTTTCTAGACTGTTGGTAAACTGTCAGATTAACCATGATTTACTTTGAAATTCAATTTCATGGACAAGTTTTACAGCTTTTCTGGTTATCAAAACATTTCTGGTCAGTGTGCTTTGATTTTTATTTATGTTCTGATTCGGAACTTTAAAGTGGACGTTCATGTGGAAAACAGAACGGCAAATGAACTATTAGGAATATTTAACGTGTCTCTAATTCAAGATTCTTGTATTATATCGTTTACAAGTGACCAAGACGGCCATCTAACAGTGTATTGATATGAAAAACCACATTGGTATGCACTGATGAACAAAAGTAATACATAATTCAACAATGTATATGCTTTGATTCAACACATTAGTCTGGACCAATCATCTAAAATGCCGAATCTAGTCCAAAATGTCTTCCCATTTCAGTACCAGGATCCGCCGGTTTCTGACGGGCGTTGATTATGACCTTCAGTCTGTAATATACTAATGACAAGACACGTGATGACCCAAGTGACCAACGTTGTGATTGTCCAACTAATAAAATACACTGATTCGTACACGAGCACTGGCTAATTTAATCTGTACCCGTGGAGTAAAATGTTACACACCGAAATATATCATATACTCCGCCATTTCATATCAGGACTTATGTCAGGATCGCACATGTTGAGGCCACCTCAGAAATCTCCAGCCTGCTATCAGTATATGTCGTATGGTGTGTATAACTTAAATAACATCTGCCCGGTTATCTTACACCGATCTGTTACATCAAGGCCTTTTAGCGGAGCCCATTCATCACTGCTCTATGTCACATTGCTCGATATAGATGTCGCTGAGTGAACATTTTGTTGTGACGTCTGTAAAACCGCCGACTGCATTAGCGTCATAGATAATGTGACATTGGTTACGTTGCGGAAGGTATGGAGAGTTCTCGTGATGTAAGACAACACACCGATGACTTAACCTCCTTATTATCCCCCGCAAAGCGTTTTGCGGGGGGTATTAAAATGGACTCCGTCCGTGCGTCCGTCCGTCCCGTCCGTCCGTGCACATTTGTCTTTTCCGGAGCATAACTCTAGAACCTTTTGAATGTTTCTTCACCAAACTTGGCACATAGATAGATCTGGTGGTGTACTGGTGCCTTTTGGTAGTTTTGGAATTCTGAATAAAATATTTTTGGCGTTTCCATGACAACAAGTTCGACTTAGCCTGAAATTGGTGGTAGTGCTCTTTTCCGGAGCAGAACTCTAAAACCGTTCAATATTTCTTCACCAAACTTGGCACATAGATAGATCTGGTGGTGTACTGGTGCCTTTTGGTAGTTTTGGAATTCTGAATAAAATATTTTTGGCATTTCCATGGCAACAAGTTTGACTTAGCCTGAAATTGGTGATAGTGCTTCTTTCTGGAGCAGAACTTTAAAAACCTTTCAATACTCTCCTTCCACTTTTCTATATACACACCTAAATATTTGACATAATCATAACTCGTAGACATAATCATGAAGAGTATTTTGCCATTGCGGGGGATATTGATGACTTTGTCTTCTTGTTCTGTTTAAAACGGTCATGTATATTGGGTTATCTACATTCTGATGAAATAATGACATATAACTAACACATTGATATATCCTAATTAACTGACATGTTAACAAACCACCAGCCTTGCCAGCCAGCCCATTGTGTAACTCCTTAAGAGTTATCTTCCCTTGTCACCTCCACCTATCAATGTGTAAGCTCCTTAAGAGTTATCTTCCCTTGTCACCTCCACCTATCCTCCTGAAGATGTAAAATTTAAACATATTACATAGTGATACTTGCGTGAAATGTCCTGATGGATTTACAGACCGTGCGATTTCAAGGATGAATATTTATCGAACAAAAAAGACAACTGATGTTACATGTCTGTTAAAGATAACATCGCTTGCATTGTTTAACAGTTTCTGCAGTCAAGTAATGTTGATCACACACAGCAAGAACAGTCAGGTTTCTTTGTTCCGCAAACATTGCTCGGTAATTGTCAAACTTGTCATTTTCTCACTTACATGCGGAACTGAAGTAAAGATATTTGAAAATTGTCAAAATAACAGAAGGTTTCTGCAGGAATCTGGAAAACAGATATCATAGGTCTTGTCTTGCGTAAGCGTAACTGGTGCTGCTTATATACCTGTGTCCCTTGTTTGTCTCGAGTCTACTGTATTTGTATATTCCTTCCTACATTTAGTGGTAAGTGCCTTTACTATCCTTGGTGAGGAAATGAATTTTATACATGGCGTCATCTGTTTCAGTTCAGAAGAATGCAATGGAAACTGCGGCACCACCTTAAGCTCTGTGCGTGTAGAGAGCGGAAGTGGTAAGACACACATTACTCTATCATTATGTAACAAATGATCTGGGGGCTGACTAAGTATGTCAGTACTGAGTGCATCGTTGTAGGGCATAAGAAGGTCTGTAACAAGGTCTTGTTGCTATGGTGTGGCATCGCGCTCAACTTGTTTTGTCTTCATCAACTACGATGCATGTCTGATGGTATACATGCCTGTCACTTGAATACTCCTGTACGATGATACTGACTGATGGTGTTTACTTGAAGACTATTGTATTCTGCTGGTTCTGGGCAGATTCCATTGTGTTGGCCACGCTATACCAGAATCTGCCAGAATACATCAAACTCGTTTACTGACAAGTTGCATACAACACTTAGAGCAGGACATCCAGCAACTATAGGACGGGTCGTGATACTGCTGCTACGACTACTAGTCCTAACAAAACAGATTGTTCCCCAAATGTTGCAAATTATTTTATCCTCTGCCTGTCCAGTTGTGCTTCTAAATCTGTTCAGGAACTTTCGTTCCGTTACTTTGAGTACTGAATCCATTTTTGTATATAACATACGTACACACTGTTATTGTGTATCCGACTCCTCAGCTATACAGTATCTAACCTCTTTTCGATGTTTATCTTATCAGAATAATTAAGAAATAGTGATACATCTCATACTTCATACTGTCCCTCCCTGGCCGCCGTACGGTGTACTCAGACTCTGCAGGAGATTTTGAGCAGAGCATATAATTGATATATCCCCATCACTGTTCAATCTTCCAGTCTGCTGCTATCTCCTGCTGTCAGACTGACATTGGCTTATCGTCCTTCTGGTCAGTTCGGTATTCTGCCTTCTAGCCGCCATTGTTAATGCTCTTCTCCCCAACTGTTTATATGTCCACGCCATGCTTATATCCTTGTGACGCGCCTTCCCTAAAACCTGAACGGAATACCTTGTTCACATGCCCCTGAACCCAACCCTTCTCATTAATTCGCCAGTTACAGTATCATGTCCATGTGCCACTAAGCAATCCAAACACTTTCTGGATCCACCTATCTCTGAACCCTCAAAACCCTGAAAACCCTGCCTGATTCATTGCCATTGAACCCTGTCCAACCCTTCTAATCCACCTACCTCCAACCTTCACACATCCCTCCTGATCAGCCAACCCCTATACCCGGCCAAACCCCTTCAAGCCACGTTTCTTCCTATTTCTCTCCTGCTCCAGGAACCCTGCATGCCGATCCCAACTTCTCCCCTTTCGTCCCACCCTGCTTTTCCCTGCTGTTATATCAGGATGATCCTTATTCCTCCCGAATTGCTTCACCCTGCAGATCCCCATCCGTCCCGATTTCCTTCACAATGCAGATCCCCATTCCTACCCTATACATCTACCCTGCAGATCCCCATTCCTCCCGTATTACTTCATCCTGCAGATCCCCATTCCTACCCTATCCCTTCACTCTGCAGATCCCATTCCTCCCGTTTCACTTCAACCTGCAGATCCCCTTTCCTCCCGTATCACTTCAACCTGCAGATCCTCATTCCTACCTATCCCTTCACCCTGCAGATCCCCATTCTTACCCTATCCATTCACCCTGTATCCCATTCACCCCTTCACCCTGCAGATCCTCCTCCATTCAACCTGCAGATCCCATTCCTACTTCCTATCCTTTTCCTTCAACCTGCAGATCCCTTTCCTCCCTTATGCAGATCCTCCTGCTGTATCACTTCAACCTGCAGATCACCCTGCAGATCCCATTCCATTCCTCCCTGTATCACTTCAACCTGCAGATCCTCACCCTGCAGATCCCCTTCCTACCCTGTATCACTTCAACCTGCAGATCTCCTATCCCTCAACCTGCAGTATCCATTCATGCAGATCCCATTCCTCCTGTATCTCTTCAACCTGCAGATCCCCATTCCTCCCGTATCACTTCAACCTGCAGATCACTTCAATTCAGATCCCATTCTTTTCGTATCACTTCTATCCCATTCCTCCTATCATTTTACCCTGAAGATCCCATTCTTCTCGTATCGCTTCACCCAGATCCTTATTCCTCCCGTATCACTTCAAGCTGCAGATCCTTATTCCTACACTACCCCTACAACCTGCAGATCCCCATTCCCTGTATCCCACAACCTGCAGATCCCCATTCCTCCTGTACCACTTCAACCTGCAGATCACTTCACCCTGAAGATCCATTCTTCTCGTATCGCTTCACCGTGCAGATCGTATCACTTCAACCTGCAGATCCTTATTCCTACACTACTCCTTCAACCTGCAGATTCCATTCCTCCCGTATCCCTTCAACCTGCAGATCCCCATTCCTTTCGCATCACTTCTACTTGCAGATCCCATTCCTTTCGTATCACTTCACCCTGAATATCCCATTCTTCTCGTAACGCTTCACTCTGCAGATTCCATTCCTCCCGTATCCCTTCAACCTGCAGATTCCCATTCCTCCCGTATCCCTTCAACCTGCAGGTCCCCATTCCTACACTATCCCTTCAACCTGCAGATCCCCATTCCTCCCGTATCACTTCAACCTGCAGATCCCCATTCCTCCCGTACCACTTCAACTTGCAGATCCCCATTCTTTTCGTATCACTTCAACTTGCAGATCCCATTCCTTTCGTATCACTTCAACCTGTACATCCCCATTCCTCCCGTATCACTTCAACCTGCAGATCCCCATTCTTTTCGTATCACTTCAACTTCCTGCAGATCAGATCCCATTCCTCCCCTATCCTTTTACCCTGAAGATCCCATTCTTCTCGTATCGCTTCACCATGCAGATCCTTATTCCTCCCGTATCACTTCAAGCTGCAGATCCTTATTCCTACACTACCCCTTCAACCTGCAGATCCCCATTCCTCCCGTATCCCTTCAACCTTCAGATCCCCATTCCTCCCGTACCACTTCAACCTGCAGATCCCTCTTCCTTTCGTATCACTTCACCCTGAAGATCCCATTTTTCTCGTAACGCTTCACCGTGCAGATTCCATTCCTCTCGTATCACTTCAACCTGCAGATCCTTATTCCTACACTACCCCTTCAACCTGCAGATTCCATTCCTCCCGTATCCCTTCAACCTGCAGATCCCCATCCCTTTCGCATCACTTCTACTTGCAGATCCCATTCCTTTCGTATCACTTCACCCTGAATATCCCATTCTGCTCGTAACGCTTCACCCTGCAGATTCCATTCCTCCCGTATCCAGTCACCCTGAAGGTCCCTATTCCCCTCTTATGCCAGATCCTTTTTCTCTCCCTACACAAATCATCCGCATCCTGGTACTCTTAACCACCATGCTGTGCATGTCAGGAACAGCTAATTTTATCAAAGGAGTCCGATATGAAAGCCTGTTTGTTTTGATAATATTTGACACAGAACATCTCGCAAGTATTCTATATTTACCCACATGTTTGAGTGATAGATCCATGCCATCAATCAATGTCGGATACATCTTCCTACTGACAGACAGTATCCAACATGTCTTCCCGAGACACATCAGTGAACCACGCCTCAGTGGCTCGACCCTCAACAGACCAGGTTATCGGTAATGTGATTCCTTGGCACACCGCTCACTACGTAGTCGGGACGCCGCAAATATAAAAACACTGACATGAACAGAAAACGTATTTGTATGAACGCCAAAACTTTTAAATGTGTTAGCCGTGTGTAGATGTTTAGATAGATGGGAAAGAAAACCACTTGGAGTTAACATTTCGTATGCAAAGTGCAGCAAATGATTTTGTCAGTTAAGTAGTTTCAATTTCCTTCTACATGCATAAAATTTATTATATTTAAAAGCATGACTTTTATCGTTCATTTTATGCACATTTAGCCCTGTTTTCACTAAAGTGCCTCCTTGTCACCATCCACGTGCTACATGTTGAGTCGATTTTATGGCGAGAGTGCATCGGAAGGTGTATGTTTTCAGCGGAGCGCCATGAGATCACTGATACATCCAGATATCTACCATGCGTTGATGTGATACATGCAACATACGGTAATATGACACGATAAATCCTCAGCGATATACTCTGTGATTCTGTGCTGTACACAGATGTTCCTCGGTATGTTTATGCAAATAATATTCAAGTTCTGCCGTATTAAACAAAATCGTACGCAACATCACGGAATATTGAAAGCTTTTCACACTTGGACCAAAAAGGGGAATCGAACCCGAGTCATGTGCGTAAGGAGAGAACGCTTTAACAATGAATCTACACAGTCTCCCTTGCAAGCTAATGAATTGCATGAATATGTTGCAGTTGACTTGAACGTGTACAGTCCGTGTATATGTCACTGTCTAAATGGCAGCGTGTATTCACATCTTTCTTATAGGTTATGTCATTAACAGTTTTGTTTCGTAAGACATTTCTGAATACAAATTTCTGAATGTCTCAGACAATAGAAAAGCATCCCTGACAATAGTGTCATACTTACAAAAGTGGAGTAACGTCTCTGACAGTGGTATATATGTTGTCTCTTTCAATCACAGAAAATCTCCTACAATGGTACAGTTTTTGTCATCGTCAATGGCATGGTGTCGCTGACAGTAGTCTAGTGTCTCTACAATTGTGCAGTATCTCTGAAAGTGTCCCTGGCAATGGTGAAGTATCTTTTTCAAGTACCTCTTAGGTAGTGAAACATCTCTAATAGTTGACAAAATATCCCTGACATGGTCATCCTATCTCTGACATGCATCGACACATCCAGAGTACAGTTCCTGTGTTAACATTACCTTGTGGCACATTGTGCTGGTCGAGTAACAGTGTGAGAGGATGACACATATAGATAAACATCTTGGAGTTGTTCTTCCCGTTATCAGCAGTCTCATCCATTCTAATTATGAGCACGACTGATGTCCAGCCTAGAAACGGCCTGATGTGTACGTGTTGGGCATAGTCACTGCAGTCAGTGTGTTGCTGAGATGTGTTAGTGATAGTGACATGATGCAGCTCTACAACGTAATACCATGCCAACGACGTTGTCGTCAACTGCTGCAACTGTAAGTGAG